CCTCATACCAATCGGGGTTATAAGGAGGGAGCGCAACAGTGATCGGGCCCGTAGGTGGTATAACTCTTGACTTCCTCAATTGACCCTCTAGTTCCTCCTCCTGCCAGTTGATACCATGGAGCCCAGTTATTAACTCCCTTATCTTAGAAATGTAGTCAGCACTCTGAAGCCCAGCTCAAGGCCAGAGGCATTGTTTACATATCTTGTGAAAAACTACTAAGAGAGTGTCCAGCGCCTGAAGTGCTGATTTTTTCAGACAGTAGCCAAGTAAAACAGGGCAACATGAATATAGGAAGTTTATCTGCATTGAACCTTTTTTAAGAGATTCTTTTACTGAAAGTCCTAAAATCAGCCATGGTGAATATTCTGGAGAAGGTCAGTTAAGACTTTTCTGTGGGCCTGGTAGGGAGGGGGAAATGAGAAGGCAGGGTTAAGCGCAGCTAGGGTGGATCTAAGAATTAAGAAGGAGATGTGAAAGAATAATGGAAAAGGGGAAAGTACTGTGCCATTTGCTCTTCCTGGACCTGATTAAGGGCCTGTTCACATTCAGCAAGCTGCTCCTTAATCTTCACTTTATCAGTTAAAAGAGCATCCTTTACCAATCTCCAGTGAGAGAAAGTAGCAATCGGGACGCTATCCGGACCCTGGTCCCTCAACAACTTTTGGGGATCCTGCTTTACCAAATCCCAATCACTGTTATTAAGAAAGCCTCCTGTCAGAAACCAAGGACAAGCCTGGGCTATAGCTTCAATGAATTCGGTTGCTGTCTTGGTTTTTATTCCTGTTCCTTGTTTGCTTAACAGTTCTTTAACTTCGTTGGCCAGGCGAAGTTTCACTGTTGAGTTACCCATGGTACGTACCCTTTCTCTTTAAATTATCTTTAAACCAATCCTCCCCCTTCTCCCTTAGAAGGTGAGCCTCATCTGCTTACCCCTGCTTTCCAGATCTCGGTGAGATCCTCCAGATGCCGCATCCGGCCTCAGGAACCAAGTCTGGTGAAGGATGTCGAGGTTAAAAGAAAAAAAAATCACAGGACACCAAGGTTCTTCATCCAGGAGGAGACATGTGCACACTTTAGTATTCAAGTTTGTTCCCTTGTATACTCTCTATAACTGCAGTGGAAATTTAGCCAAAACAGGGGAGGAATAACACCTGCTACTCTTGGGTTACAGTGACAGTCCCTTATCAGGAAGCTCCTAGAAGGCCAAGTTGTTCCCAAAAAGGCACATATGTCTGAGGCAGATAAACATGAAACCACAAGCCTGCACATGACCCTGTGAGCTGGCCACATTGACATTCATATCAGAAGGCTGGGGGTTGAATCCCCAGGGGCCAGGGTGGGCCTGCTACCAGCAAGTCCCCCTCTTTTGTTTTTTGCATGTCAATGGGAATCAAGTAGCCCCTGTCTTAGGTCCTCCACTGCCCTTACAGTGCTTACCCATCTCTGGGGTGGCCCCATTCCCCTGTCTTAGGTTGCAGTGCAAGCGTGGAAGTTGCCTGTCACTGGGTACTACAAGATCAGCTCTTGTCCTACGTAAAAGACACTTTTCAGTTAGGATGTCATGGCCAGCAGGACACAACTGTGGATCTCAGTAATCATCTTTTCCAGTGGGATAGCTATGACCAGGGAGCTTTCTGAATGTAAGGATCTGGGATGACGGCACCAAGTCAGCAGGGTAATTAGGGACCTGGGCAAAAGCAGGCACATAGGAGGGCTGGGTATTGGCTCCTGTCCAGTTACATCTCATCTCTGGATGGGTTGTAAGTACACCTGGTGGGTGGAGTAATCAATCTTCTGGCGTTGGTAGTGAACCTGTATTGGCTTGGAGGTTAAAATGTTAATCTGGTCTTTAATGAATTGAGTTATCCTATTTGCAACACAAGGTCCCAAGGTTGAAATCAAAAGAAGACTCAGTAAGGGTCCCAGGAGGGGAAGAAGGTAGGGCAGGAACCCATTCATCCCAGTCCAAAGAGAGTTCTCAAATAGTTTTTTTCTCCTTTTCTCTAGGTCTTCTTGAAGCTCCTTGATTTTAGTGCGAACTATGCCTGATTTATTGGTATAGAAGCAGCACCTTTCTCCCAAAGCCAAGCAAAACCCTCCCTGATTGGCAGTCAGCAGATCTAGGCCTCACTTATTCTGAAGGACTACTTCTGCCAAAGAGTCAATTTGGTCTTGTAGGTCCCCAATAGCGCCAGATAGGGTCTGCACATCATCTATAAGCTGCTGAGATAGACAGCGATAAGAATGTATTGCTGTACCCAGTCCAGCTGTGCCTGTGCCCACAGCAGCCCTTATCCCCAGTGTGGCGAGTAGTGGTAAAGCCTGTATAGCTCGCCTGTGCCTTTTTACTAGGGTGTCTAGACTGGGAATAGGTAAGGGCTCATCCCCAAGGACAATGGTTATGTCAGGGAGGAGCAGGGTGAGAACACAGACACCTGTCCAATTTGCAGGGAGTCGAGGGAAGGCAGAATTTTCCCCACACATAAAAACAGTGCCATTAGGGTGACAGAGGGCTAGAGTGGGTGAGGAATAATTTTTTTACTTTTGAGCAATTTCCAAAGGAAGTAACAGCAACATCAACATCATAGGTGTTGTTTTGCATCATACCCAGGAGACATTCTGTAAAAGTGCCCATAGGTTGCACCTTGAAAGGCAGTCCAGGCTGGCAGGTCTCATCATCAGATATGATGGCATTGATAGGAACCGCCACAGGCATGACCACCCCTGTTGTTATGCAGAGCCAGTAGTCACTAGCAAGCATGGGATCAGAGTTGTTAAGTAAGAAAAGGGTGGTTTTTAAGATATCCCATGTATTGGCATCCAGATCTGGGATCTCAGACTTAGGCAGCACCAAGGGGTGGTATATGAGGTCAGGGACCTGTGGTTTCAAGAGCTTGATAACTTGAAGATGTTTAACAGAATCAGTAGGTCCCCCCTCCCCATCAGAGATCCCTGTAGGGGCTACAGTGGGCCAACAGGAGGACTTACCAACTTGACCCTGGCACCCAGCCGACCGAAGTTTAGATTCAACTCCCCCTTGGCCGAAAAGAAATGGAGTGAAGTGAAAAGTCACTCCCACCCCCTCCCCCAACCGGATCTCAGTCAATCTGGCCTCAAAATACTGTCGTCCCTTGTGTACACAAATTGAGGCCATCTTTTAGCAAGGTACATGAACTGCGGAAGTATAAGTGCAAGTTGTGGAGCAGTTACTGAGGGTTTTTGTGGGACCAGGGGGGTTAATCTTTGGTTTATTCACGCATACCCACTTAGGGTGGTGAAATCCCCCAATTTTTGATGAACTTCAGCCTGGAGGTAGGCTACCTTGGTTACACAATTGGCTGTCTGAATCCAGCTGCTGGGGGCCTGATTCCAAATCCCTCCCCTGCACTCGCAGGGGGTCCCAAAAAGATGTTGATAGATATTACCTTGTGGGGGATCTAGCCCTCCATCTGCAGGCCTGTATGACAGGACCGTTATAAAAAAGATCCATCCCGCAAAACTCATTCTGTCACTCCTTTGGAGAAGCGAAAATGGCCCAAGTCCCAGGGTC